CCGAAGAATTTCTTTATCAAATTATATTTCTCGGGATGCCTATTTTCAAATTGTACGTTTTATTTTTCCTTGACAATGGCCTCGAGTGAGTGTCCGAAACTTCGGGCAAATAAAATATTGGTCTCAGCGAACTTCTTTCCGCCTTCTATTCAATAACCTGGGCCTCGCATATTTTCGACTATTCAGAAAAGGCTTTTTATGTCACGACGACCTGTTAAAATATAAATCAGAAACGTCAGGCGAAAGCATCATCGTTCCCAGCGATCATGGTTTCTATTTGCTTGATTGCGTCCTGAAACTCGCATTTTCACAGCCTGAATCCCATCTACCAATTCCTGACGAACAAACATACTTAGAAGACTCTGGCGACACCCATTAGATATTATATGTAGAATTCAGTTTTATTCATTAACAAAGTTAGGATTGGGAACACTGGAAAGCGCGGGGTCACCCAAGGTGAAGAGCATTGGGTGTTGGACAGAAACCGGTGGCAATGGCATAAAAGACAGTTAAATAACCTCGTGGCTGGTGGAGGAGAACAATAAAACAGGAAAACCAACAGTTGGATTAAAAATTAACCAGACATCAGGGTTTAGCTGACGATTTGTAAAATATAATGCGCGGACAGTCAACGGGGGCGTCTAGGAGGTGCAGAATTGCCGGGCCCGACTCCCGTCTCTCCAGCCACTCGCCAAAACTTTGTCTTTTCTCCTCTGGATGTGCCATATACGGCTGGACGACGCGGTTAAAGAAGGCTATCTTCTTCCCGGCATGCGCTTCGGTCTGATCCACGACAAATACCACTTTATTGCGCGCTTGAGCTATAGTGGTCCAACTGAAAGTCATGCCAGGCTGATTGGCCGGTGGCATTTCCTCCAAACAGAATACTGGATCCGCCGGACTAGTGTTTTTGTTGTTGTTTTCGCTGCAGTTGCCGTGTCCCGCAACCTCACCATCCGGTCCCATACTCAATAGGATCCAGTTGATTGCATGTCCGCTGTCAAATTCAGTCTTTAACCTCTGTGAGTACCGCTGGCAGTGTTCGTCTAGAGTCAGATGTTTCGGCCCCAAGTCCTCCAGTCGATAGGTCCGAGCAACATAGAGATCAAGGTCAGTTAGCGACCAAGGCTTTGATAAGTTGGCACGATTTCCTTTTGTGAAGTATTCGCTGGCTGACCAGAGGGTAATGTGGGGTCTTCGGTTGGGATGCTCTTTAAGTATGTTACGCAGCGCTAGTTCGATGCCGAAAACTGACCTTCCACCGGTTATGGCAATGTTGCAGGAAAGGCCTACAAGAAGGCGAAAAATGAGAGTTTTTTGCGGCACGGGTTATGCCTCGCGAACATTAACTACTTTGCTAGAGTAAAGTCGACAAATGATAGTAAATAGGAAGCAGCTGGGGCACTGGATAATCTTACCGCTGCTTGAACCTGAACAGGAGTTGGCTAAAGCTGTTTCGTGTTTTATCTGAGGACGATCAGGATTGCGACTTCATGGATTTATCGGCAATCTTTAGCAACAAAGTTGGTTTTGAAGGGAGAAGGCTCGTCGGAAATGTGGGATTTACTAGTGAATTTTCAAGCTGGCACCACCGACCCGTCGTCAGACAAAATAGAAAGCGACAGGTGGGATTGTCACACTGGCGTGTGAGGACGCAGACAAACAGATGGGCAGGAGGTCATGTGAGGGGGGTCTGCGTCATGTTGTAATGACTGCCGGACGTGAGGCGAGGTGCATGGACTCTCATGAGTGATTCGCAGTGTCATGGAGGCAATGGCGTAAAGGTGAAATTCCGTATATCCGGGCATGCATTAGGAGCTGTTATTTTTAAGTTGGACGCCAGTCGGTGCACCACGATCAGAGGTCCTCTCAATAGGCATGTAGGTCAACATGGCGGTCGAAGTTGTCCGCAGTGGAGGACTAGGCTTCGAGGAATTCCCGTGCCTATTTAGTGTTAGCTATCGTGACCACTGCAGTGCCGTCCCAATTAAAACAATGTTTACAATCAAGAGAGTGCGCAAGCACAAGAGATGAGGAGTCTCTGCCATGGATAGCCAGTTTGCGTTCGTTAATGCAATTCGTCGACTAATGTGACCAATTTTAACACAATGACAGTTTGCGCACGGATACGGTTAATGACGTAGCTTTTATGTATTTTGGGTATGGTATCCTTTACCCGGAATAATACTGCGCGTAGGGCGTATGTCGGATGGATCGCCAGAAAACTAAACCAGTTTGGCATCTGCAGTACCCAGAAGCCGGTGGCCTTTCTAGAAATGTACTGAAGGGAGTTTCGGCAAACATAAGAGAAACTAGGATGTGGACTACTGGTTTTTAAACTATCTTCGGCCTAACCGCAGGTC